TGTCAAATTGGATAGTTTAGCATGGTGTAATCCCCTCCACTGAGTTTCACTTCATAGAGACAATCACTATCGAGACCACACATGCCTTGTCTGTAACAGCATGCATGAGCCATATATAACAGCACACATACCTAGTCTATAGCAGAACAATGACTTGTCTATAGCAGCACAATGACTTGTCTATAACAACAGAGTGACTTGTCTGTAACTGCACACATGGCTTGTCTATAACAGCACACATACCTTGTCTACACATGCCTTGTCTGTAACAGCACACATGACTTGTCTACACATGCTTATAACAGCACAATGACTTGTCTATAACAGCACACATGACTCGTCTATAACTGCACACATGGCTTGTCTATAGCAGCACACATGACTCGTCTATAACTGCATACATGGCTTGTCTATAGCAGCACACATGACTCATCTATAACTGCAAACATGGCTTGTCTATAACAGCACACATGCCTTGTCTACTTTTGTCTACATTTCATTTTCACTCAGGTTGTTCTTCCTCATTTTCTCCCAGTCTTTCCCTCCACTTTCTCTTCCTGTACACCTATAAGGTCATTTACCTTCTTCAGCTACTGAGTGTACAAATGTAGTATTCACTCAGTGACTCATCTGTATACCTAGATGATGTATGCAGAGGACTCCTAATCCATTTTAGTCTGAGTCCTTAACCCGAGTGTCAAATCCATAACTCCGGCTCTGTTGATACTCTCCTTTAGATATCAGAGTACTCAGCACTCCCATTCCACTACTCTCCAGCTGCTTTCCTCCAGACCTTTCCTCTCAGCAAATGGTACTCCTCTATACAGTATGATGTTCACTGAAAGTTTAGAGGTCTCTACTGCTTCTCCACCATCCTCTCCTTACTTGCCTGATTATTCACAAATTTAGTAGCTTTTTTCTTCTGCATCTATATAATGTTTCTGTTTCTACCAACAACATTCCCTCATCACACTCCTGCTTTAATACAGTCATTTTCTAAATGGACTAAACTACTATGCGAGTGTGTGTGTGTGTGTGTGTGTGTGTGTGTGTGTATGCATGCCTCTTTGTGTGTGTGTATGCATGCTTCTTTCTGTGTGTGTGTGTTCATATATTCATGGGAGCATATATGTGTGGAAACCAGAAAATAACCAACCTTGGATGTCTTTCTTCAATCACAATCTGCCTCATTTTTGAGACTGGGTCTCTCATTTGCCTGAAGTTCACCAAATAGGCCATGCAGGATGGCCAGTGAGCCCCAAGGATCCATCTGTCTCTCTCGCCCAGCTCTGGGGTTACAGCATGGCTGCCGAGCCAGCTTTTTCTATGAGCTCTTGGGATCGAATGCAGGTCCTTGCACTTTACTGGGCTATTGGCCAGGCTCCTGGACTCTCAGCTTCATTATTCCAGAATTAATTGTTCCCCCTGATTTGAGAGTCATTTCAGAATAAAAGTGTGGTCTCATCACATGGCTACTTAAAACTGTTTGGAAATTTTAAATTTCTCTTAAGTACCTAACTTAAGTCTGTACACCACACTACCTGTCTCAAGTATTTGTTGAAGAAGGAATAAACATTATTGCAGCATTTGCTGTTAAAATAGTACTGCTCTACATACTTTTCTGTTGGATATTCTTGCAGGAGTTGAATTGCCGGTTCATTTTCACATCATCTACTAAATATCAAAGGACTTAGTGGACTGATGGTGCAGTGCCTTTTAGCTGTCAAGAGAAATGAGAGGAATCTAGGAAGATCAGCCGTGATCTATTGGGAGAGTCGTTCTGTATTCTAGAGAGTCAGCCACTAGTCAGAGAATATTTATAGATTTTATGCCAAGCAACTTTTTTTCTGCTTCAATTTGAATTTTATTAAGACACATTTGACAAAAACAACCTCAGCTTGAAGAAGAAGAAGAAGAAGAAGAAGAAGAAGAAGAAGAAGAAGAAGA